TTGGCAGGCGGCCGCCAGGCGCGCACGGACATGGCGAGCGATCGGTCATCGCACTCGATCGGGTAGCCGTTGTAGACGGTCCTTGCTGCACTGACTGCTGCTGACCCCAGGCCTGCCAGAATCTTCCTGTAGTGTCATCATGATCTCCATGCGGCCCTGAGACTGAACAATCATATATATACTCATATATATATATAATATTATATATATATATAATATAATATATATATATATATATATTATATAATATATATACTATATATATATAATACATATGGCTCTATTTGGATTAGCACTCAAAATCAATGGTGAAGATACAGTTCATTTTCACTCCGGTCAATAAACAACTTATCACATACAATCTATCAGCCTTATTATTGCTCAAACGTACTACCCACTTCTGAACATGCCACTGCCTACTTACCTACACCATCACACATGAACCACTTTCGTCTCGTCCTCTAACCCTACTCACTCGCCTCTCACTCACTCGTCTCCAAACGTCACCCTATAATATAATGCTTACTACTCGAGCCAGCCGTCACTTTCTTAAGCACACTCTCCCATCTCGCGCCACTTCACCGCGCTCCACTCGCTCCTTCGCTGCACTGCACACCTACTCGACTCTCGACTATCGCCAGGCTCGGTGAAGCCTGCCTTCATTCGCCACCCAGGTCTGAGCATACCGAATCACCACCCCAATGCAACTGCAATGAAAGCCATCCACCCCTCTCCGAATCTCCTCTTCCACGCGCACCCTTCGCATGCACACACCGACCAGTCACCCCAGCTTCCTCTTCAACCACGACGCGCCCCCCCCCCCCCCCCCCCTCCATCCATCTGCTAAACTTTGACACTCGCACTCTCCCTACTGCACAGCCTACCCTCCTCGGCCCGTCCCCCCGAGCAACACCCACCTGAACAGCCAAGTCAACGTAACCCCCCAACCCATGACAGGACGTGTCACCGCTGATCCTGCATGCCCCCACACTCTGGAAATCTTGCACAACTTGAATCTCAGCCGCCCATCCACAGTTTTGTGCAACCAATCATTGAGATTGAGGCAAAACAGAGTAAACAGGAGCTTGCCAAATCATGATTATTAAGATTCTAAATGTTGTATCATAACTATAAGGTCGTATATACTGCTTCTTTCCTCAATGTGTTTGGCACTTTGTATAAATATTAAATGAATTATAATAAATAATTGGTAAATATGAGTTAATCTCTTTCTTAGTTTGACCATGCACACCACACACTCGCTATGAGCGGTTTGTTGATCACCGCCTGTTTTCAGTTGCCCAATCTGCTATGAGATTGGTCAGCCAAACTAGGGGATCCGCGAGTTTTGCAGCACAATCGCTGCATCAATCTCGAGATTGTGCAGATTCCAAGTTTGGGTACGACATACGCACACACACGAATTTAGGACGAATGCCACAGATGGCTAAATGGTGAGAACGGATGAACAACAAGGTCTACAAACAGCAAAATCACACAAATGGCAAGAACCACAAACCGTGATGACGTGCAAACAAAAAAGGATGTAAGAACAGCGCGAACGAACTAACGGAGATAACATAGAATCGCGTGAACGAACTAAGCATGGACGATGAGAGGCAAAGAAAGAACAACAACGGGACAATCGATGTGAACGAACAGAACAATGCGGAGTGACGAGCAGCCACGGCGGATGACCACAGGAGGACTCTCACAGTCTAGTTGGTAGGTAGTCGGTGAGCTCATCCTGTTCTTCAGGAATGTCATTACACTTTGTTGACGGTCTGAAACAGGTCGAAGGTGTCGCCGACGCCGAACAATGCAGCGAGGTTCTTAGCGCGATGAGCCTCGCATGGGTGTCCCGGGTGTCTCCGTCAGCTGATGTAGCAAGCTGTCCCAGCAGCTTCTCTCGACATTCATTGATGTCCCGACTGCAGCACGAACAGTATTGAAGCAGTGATAGCATCTGCGCTGCAAACACTATAGATAGGTTAGAACAACGGCACCTTCTGGCGTGTCCTAACTGCACTGGAAAAATACCACAGGGTTACAACTAGTGTTGTCAATTGGTTGTAATTTCGTAATCGATCATCGGTTGGACCCAAGTAACCAATGATCGTTACAATCGCTTGTCCTCGAGTGTGAATGCCTGCGTGCGTAACGTCGTGTGCATGTACGTGTGTGCATGTATGGTGCTTGTTTAGCCCTGTTTACTGCTTGTTTTGCACTGTTTACTACTGTGTGTATAATACATGTATTTAATAAAGGATAACTTGTATAGTAGCGATGATATCTCTGATTCTCATCACTTTTCCAAGTTTTCTTGTTCAAGTTTAAAAAAAAAATTTTTTTTTTATGAAATCGATTATGGATTTGGATAACCCAGCGTTTGGTTTGAGCCACTGTTCAACCGATGATCGAGTATAATCGATGATCGTGACATCACTATTTACAACAATTACTTCTTCTGCAGTGGCTTCTGCAATCCTCCGATTTAAATGTTAACAATATTAAACGGTGCAATGGCGGATATCTGGATAAGAGCAGTGATTACTATTGCCATTCTGACAGCTGAAAGATTCCATGGAATAGCATCTCTCATTAAAGTGCATATCTAATTAAATCTAGACATAGCACGCTATCTATAACCATGGCACTGCCTTATAGTGTGATACAGACAGTATTCGGTGTAGAGTATTTGACAGTTTATCGGGGAAAAATAGGAGATTACCACCAACCTTTCCTTTGGCTTTAATAATAAACCCAGCAAATTTACATCAAAGACTCTACGAAAACATCTTGGCTAATGACCAGTGAATTGCATACTTGTACTTCATTGCATTAAGTTTTTGCAATGCACGGCTACATCCAGTACAGACTACAGGCTGCAAATCTATATGAACGTGCTGTCCATAATACAAGTACTTCGCCTGTCTGAACGGATGATTATACAACCAGCTGTGACTGCGGGTTCATTACTCAGTATATTTATGACAGCATCACCCTTGTAATACTAATGATGGGCAGTAGATGAGGTGCACGGATAAAAAAAAACCTTAGCAATTAGCAACATCTACAGCATCTGTAACAGAGTACATGTAAGCTAAGATAAGTATGGGTGTATTTTTGGACGCAGAATATTCATCTCCATATGGCAGTCTATTGCGATTGAAAATATGCTGCCAAAAAACAAACTTGTCTTAAGTTTACAAATTACTAACCATAGACCCTCTACTTCTCTACAACATTTCATATCAAATCCCAGCTATCCAAATAGTTTTTGAAAATATATAAATGTGTTCTTGATAAATCAATCAGAAAGATCACGTACACTGACATTACTATATTTAGTCTTTCGACAAAATTAGAATTTTAGGCAAAGCTATTCGATTTTAAAATGTAATTTGATTTTTGGTAGACACAATAGGCTATTTCACTGTTTAAACAATACAGTCACCAGAACCAAGTCTTCGTACTTGTAGCTATTCTTGGCAACTTGCAATAAGTCAACAATATCTACAATGTTTACCAAAGGCAGGTGGGAAAACTCTTTTGAGACCAACATATCAGCTAGCATATATATAGTTCTGAAAAGAAATGTGGGCTACTACTACTAGCGCTGAGAGGGTCTACGTCCCCCAGGGTACTGCCGGAACGTACCCTGGGTACGGTTCGGTATACCGGAACGTATAACAGAATTACCTGGTACTATCTAATATGCCGGACCGTACCTCGCCTACTCCACTAACGAGTCTAGGAGTTGGCCTACGCCTACTCCCTACACTAACCCTAAACCATATCAAATAAGTTACCAGGTACGTTCCGGATACTACAGGACCGTACCCAGGGTACGTTCCGGCAGTACCCTGGGGGACATAGACCCGATGAGCGCTACTAGCTGGCTTTGGCCAGTTATTTTATTTACATGATATTGATAAATCACTATACTGATGATGAAAATTATACATACATTCACATATATGCTAAGCTTATATGCAAATTGATTGCCGTCTAAAGGTATTGGCTCCAAAATACTGTAATGGGGATTGTCATATGACAATATTGGTCTGTACTAGCTATGCCCTCTACCATATTGTGGACGTAACACAACTCAGTGTAGCCAGCAATGATATAAAGTAATTGTTCTGATGCAAAGTAATGATCACTTATAGTCATACTTTCTTTCGTTACACGTTATTACCTTCTGCGCTGCCACCAGCACTTTGTCAAGGAACCTAAGCCACTCGAAGACGAAGATCGGTCGCTTGGTTTCAGCAATCTGAGCAACAGCTTGCTCGTTCAAAGTCAGACTATGAGCCAACTCCATCATCTTCGAAACTTATTCATCAACCTGCTGTTCGGATAAAAATATTCTCAATTAATACTCAAAGTTAGCTAGTATTAGCAGGTTAGGGAAGTGATCATGATTGGTTGGACTGGCTGCTTGTGATCACATGGATGAAGTTTTTACAGGTGGAACCAGGCATGCAATAAGCAATAGAATTGGGTTTTTGAGGGATGATATCAGGGGCCAAGATTGCTGGATGTAATCATACATGATAATACTAGCTATAACTTTTTATATAGTCGCTCTAAGTTCTAACACTAAAACTAGTAATGACATGATTATACAGACGTCAGGAACATAGAGCGACAGAGCACACGTCTAGATAGCAGCCTTCTACACGCAATATATAGCATTCCCATACGTCCATTGGTTGCTGCTAAAGCGCTCTATAATATTTTACATACTACAAATTGGCAGGATTATCTTTTGGCACCAATAATTTATAGTCAAGCGGTGGCTAGCAGGAGATAAAATAACGGGTCATAACAGCCATCTACAATATACTCTCAACTATAGGCAAGAGTACAATAAACCTCTTGTAAGCTACACGCAGTAATCATTCACGTGTCTCTCAATAGCTCACATAAAATAGAAAACCTATACCTTCAAGCCTATTGGCTAGGTATCCAGCAAGCAGACTAACTCTCTCGCTGTCTCTAAATAAATATATGAGAGGTGGTGGTAGCAGCAGTGGTCTGATGAGGTGTGTAGAGAGCTGTGCCTTATATACATATTGACATTGCGATATGTGAGTGCTGTACCTAATAGCCAACTGTGTAGCCAACAATCTAACATTCATCATAGGATTACTATTCTTTTATATTTATACCGTGAGAAGCCAGTATTTTAGACTATAACTATATAATAAACTCAGCATTTGCTGGTATCCATCTATTAATACGTGGTGATATTTGGTCATGGGAATATTATTTGCCAAAACATAGATGGTGTTCGTCAAGTATGAATGGGGGGGGTCCTAAGCAATGGACAATGCAGTGTTTCCCCTGCATTGACACGAGCGAGGCGCGCCGCTTCGCTCAAATTCTCAGCTGCCGCACAGAAATTTGTCCAAAACACCGCCGCGCAAACGAAAATCATTCTTCTTCCATAGAACAGTGAACATTTCCGGGGGGCATGCCCCTGTACCCCCCTAGCTGGGCGAGCACCTGAAGTGCTTGCTTTGCTAGGACCTCGCAATGCGCAAACACACCAAGAAAATGTTACCACCTCACAGACCTTTTTGGCCAGGGGAAACACTGGACAATAGACCGACAGCGAGGTGCGACGATGCCTGGACCAAACTACCTTCGTAAACTAGAGCACCCATTGACAGAATCTTCAATATTATAAAAGGCATCATCATCATCATCAATCATACATTCAATCATCATCATCATCTTCGTTTATAGTCCATCTTTTCCCGTGCCTGGGGTTGGACTTGCGATGACCTCCTCCCAACTCTCGTCTTGTCGTTGATCCTTCATCTATATTCAAGGTTCTTGCAGATCTTTCTGCACTGTCCCTATCCATGTTCTCTTTGGTCTCCAACGGTCTTTTTCCAGGGATCTCTAATTCTTTCCACAAACCTCAGATCTCCTCTCTCGTCTCCTTCTAACATGCCCAAGACCATTGTAGCTTCTCTGTCTAAGTTCTATCTGCTGTACTCTCCTTAAACCACATCTCTTTTGCCATCTCTTCACTGGATATCCTATCCACCATTTAACTCCAGCTATGTATCTTAGCATTCTTTCTATCACACCTTCAAATACATCTTCAACTCTTTCTGTCATAGCCCACACTTCACCCCAATATAACAAAACTGATCTTATACAACTTCATAGACATTGCCTCTGATCTTTAAAAGAATACTTCTGTTTACTAACAAACTAGCCATCTCTCTCCATTTCTTCCATGCAGTCCGCTACTCTAACTCTCACAGTTCTCTCTCTGTACCCACCTCACAGTCCACCATATCACCAGATAGCAAAACTCATGAACTTCCTCTATGTTTCCTCCCATAGTCCTCAGTCCTCCTTCACCTTCCCCCTGACATCCTCTTCTGCAAGCCGGGCCCGCGAAAGTTCTGGATTCCCTTTACACTTTTCAGGCCTGCGCATCTTTGGTGAAACCATTTGTTACACTCTATGCATAAAATGATTTACTCCCACTCTCTCTCACAGCATCTCCATGGCATCTTCCTGACTGCACATGGTGCTCAGAGCCTTTTCTGTTACCTAATCATCTTTGTTTTCTCCAATTTTACTTTCATTCCTCGTCTTTCTAACCCTCTCTCCAACTCTCAAAAGCTTCCAGTGCTTCCTGTTCAGATTCTGCCTGTCAATACCATTCATCTGCATACGCTAACTCCCATGGAACCCTTTTCTGTTTTCTCTATTGCCTCATCCATTACTATGATGAACAGTAAGGGACTATACTGAGCCTTGATGTACCCCTACCCCAATGTCAAACTCCTCTGCAGTGTTAGAGCTTTAAATAAAAAACACAGCTCGCAAACTGGCGGAGTGAGTCAATAAGTTAAACTCGCCCAAACAGAATCAGTACTCTCGCCCAAATTTAAAAACAAAAGCTTGTCAAACAATGAGTGAAAAAACACAAAAACACCATGATTTAACTACACATGTAACTTCATTGATCACTTTCTCAAAAATTCAAGGGCACATCTCATCTGAAAGTTCCTGTTTTCATTTTAATTTAATTTACTTTTATTCTCGAGCTGCTTCAATGAAATGCCACGTTACGCCGATTTTATTGACTTGTTAACACCAAAGCCAACGTGACTTTTAAACAATCCTGCACTCCCCCCCCCCCCCGTACATCAATCAATATGCCGCCCATTATATTGTTGTTTGAGCTTATGCGTACATAAACAGCATGAATGTAGCTCTTTACAGTTGTTTTTCATTATATTTTTATACATGTAACGTCCGTAACAACTTTAATTAAGGTAATCAGACAATACAGGAGTGTTAATTTCAAACTTGCTATTCATGTCTATATATAATGGGGGCAGACCTACATCAACATAGTTAGTAAAAAAAACTAAAGGAAGTAACTTCACAGAGTTTTACTAATATGTACCAATTTACCAAATGTAAAAAAGTCATGTCACAACGCGTAACATCCGTAACGCTTGTTTCTTATGATTGTGGCTAATTAATCAATTAAGCTAAAACAAAGTTGTTTTACTATTACACTAGAGTGTATATTACATGTATAATAGAAAATAAACTGTTATAAGTTGTTTATCAATTGAAAGTGCAATTTGCATGTAAACGTAACGTCCGTAACGGGGAATTGGCCATATGTACCCACGGTAGTTTTAGGTTGTTTAGTATTATGTTATATTTTTATATGAGGTATGTTTTAGTTAGGGTACACTTCAGGACCCGGTTCCACAGTCGTGGGTTAACCTTAACTCTGAGTTAAATTCCTTAACTCAGAGTTAAAGTTAACTCAAGTTAAATTCTGTTTCACAGTCGTGGATTAACTTAACAACTCTGAGTTAAATATGCCTTAACTCAGAGTTAAAATTTAACTCTGGTTCGAACCTGGTTTAACTCTTAACTCAGGGATTAAAAATGCTGTTTTTTACGCTTTTAACGCCCCATGCAGTTCCGAAAAAACAAAAAGAATATCGCAAACACGACGACCCCATTTTTTTTGACACTTCCTGTTAACTCACATATGTTTATCGTTGGCAAAATGAACAAAGAACACCCTCACCAGTACCCTTGTCGATTTAAAGGGCCTACCCCCCCATTTACGAAAAATTAAGTAGTTTCAATGGGCCCCATGTTCCTATCCTTGAACCGACGGTACGTGTAAGCATTTTCATAAGAATCTGCATAATTTATACATAAGAAACAACTTACATTTGATTATATCAGGTATTCTTCGATATCATCCTTTAGACTTGAAGATTAGTTTCTACGAGGTTAGTTAGTCTAGATACTACATAGAGCTAATTAGTTTATCTAGTACTGCCCGTGTTCGAATCATCCCGCTTGCTAACCATATTTATTTACGTTTGTTAATTGTTCGCTGACCGACGTGACCTATAGATGGCGTACAACACGATTTATTCCCATCCTGAACATTCGTTCAGTTTATAATATTGTTATCTTGTAACAAATTCCTCGGTAGCTGCAACTGGTAGAGCGTCTTGCTAATATCCGTGAACGTCGCGGGTTCGTCATTCCCGAGTTGGCTAAAAAAATTATTTTCCTTGTTTATTATTTACCGCCTGCCGGGTATATAAGATAACTCAATAACAATAATAATAATCGTCGCATATACTGTTTTTTGCACTTGTCGTAATATTGTTTTGTTAGCTTCGATGTCAGCACACTCTTGTTAAATCATGTAAAGTTCCACTAGCAGTGCCTTTTCTGCACTAGAAAATTTGCTGATCGCTTCTTCATTCCTACCATTGCTGCGTTTAGCTTGTTCCGTCTGCTGCTGGCCGTTTGTTCTATTGTTATATATTGGATATTATGGGATACTAACTCTGAGTTAAAATATTTAAACTCTGAGTTACTTAACTCAGGATTTAAACCATGTTTATGAAACCCAAATTAACTCGGAGTTTACTAACTCAGAGTTACGCGAGTTTAACTCAGAGTTAGTCTTAACTCAGGGTTAAAGTTAACCCACGACTGTGGAACGCGGTCGCAGTAGTGCAAGCTGGTACACTTGGTACACTTTGTTATACATATAGTACCTCGGGTACATGTAGTACCTGATACGACAACGACCCTGTCAGCTGCAATAAGGGAGAACCAGAAGACCTAAAGCATTTCCTGTTAGTTACCCCGCATCAAACACCTAAGGAAGATCATGTGGACAGGCTCAAGAAGTGGGGTACCCCTGCACAGCTGGAGGAAAGGCAGTGATGCTCGCCATCTTGGGCTAAATGAACATAGATGTTATGGGGATTGGGTAAGCAGGTTAAACATTACTTGAATCAGCCTGGAAGCTCCAAAACAAAATCTCCCGGTAATAGTGAAAGTTACGGTGGGAAACTATTCAAAAATAAAAGGGAAACACCGATTTAAAGGTTCCCGTTCATACATGAACATACATGGTACCAGAAAGTTAATGAAGACAAATCGATGTAACGAAATTGTCTTCATTAACTCCTGATAGTAACTATATAGTACTAGCTCTAGTAACTATAGCCCGCGTACAGTTGCCGCTGGACTTATTGGAGCAGCCATTAGGGTGCGGCGGGACCAACTTACTCACGCTTATATCGCGACTATAAAACGTCTGCTGGTAGGCAATTAATGCCTCTTATCCGAAATGAATATGTCTCAAGTTATTCAGCTACTAAAATTTAACCTGCTAACTACTTACGTTGAAATGGTCTGCTTGCGGTAATTTCTCGGTGAACTAACATCGACTCGCGAACTTCAAACAGCACTTTTTGCGCGGCCGCCAGTGCGCGGGCCTGCAGCAGGCCAGCAGCGCCAGTGAGCGGAAGCTATGTATTTCCGCCTGTGGCAGAGTGGGCGGGTTGGGTTTGGTTGTGGACAAAAACATTGTTGTTGTCAAGTAACAATTTAAGCGATCAAAAAAGATTGTAATATTAGTTTTGTCATGAAAGAAACAAATTAATTATTAATTTTTGTTACTTGACAACAACAATGTTTTTGTCCACAACCAACACAACCCGCCACACCTCACGTGCGGAAATACATAGTTCCGCTGACTGCAGAGTAAGTTGGTCGCGAGCATTCGTAATGGCTGATCTATAGCCAGTGGCAACCGTACGTGGCGCTATAGTTACTAGAGCTTATACTACTACTAGTACTACTAGTACTAGTACTAAACCGACCAGGCTCTCCGACTGTTAGACGTCGTAGTACACGTCTCACCAACGTATAGACCAACAAGAGCCGCAGACGTCTGGGCTCATCTGAGGTGTTGCTACGATTATAAACGTAAAATTTCAGTGTGGCGTAGTACCACATTTGTTAGGCGCAGATATGCAGACACGCAGTTGCGCGTACACATCATGTTAGGACACGCCCACTATCGCAGATGGAGGTAGGGGGGAGGGTGGGGAAGGGGCGGAAGGGGGGGGGAGGGGGGGGGGAGGGGAAGGGGGAGGGGGCTCTAATAGCAAACAGTTCACTCCTTTGTTAACAGTTCAACAAATCCATGTTGAACCCTCCTCTGAGGGTCAAAGGTTATCACACTTACTTTTCGCCACTGTCAGTGGAAAGCACATTCATGGTCCTTTCAATAAAACCATAAAAATAGTAGGTCACCGCTGAAACAAAAAGTTTTTCAATCGCGTCGCGTCACACCATGTCCTCAGAAAATGGTCTAAAATCTGCCCATGTGCCCCATTGACCGCTTGAGCTCTGTGACCTCCAATTTCGGCAGCCAGTGATGGCTTTCCTACCATGATGCTTACACCGACTATCACGAGCCTACTAGTCGAGCCGTTTAGATTTGTGCCGCAATTTCTGCATTTCCTCCTATACCTTAAGTTAAGGAGTGAATGTTCCCCTTCTTTTACACCTCTTGACCTTTGACCTTTGACCCCAGCTTTCGACGGACGATCATGCGATTCTACAAGCTGCATCTGACTATGTCAGATGAGCTAATAAATTGTGCCCTAAAATTTTTTTTATTTTGATGTTATTTTAGCGCCCAATAGCCTTCCATATACAAAACCTGTGAATAAAATAAACGTGATTAAAGAGGAGAATACTGCATGACAAGTGTTTTGTAATGTAGCCTGTACTTGTGCTCGTAGGGTCTATGTCCCCTGACCTCTGTTTGACCTCGCTCGTTTAGCTATTTCTGACTAACCTAACCCTAACCCTAATCCTAACCCTAACACCTAACCTATATAGTATTATATTATATATTATATATAGTTATATTAGTCAGAAATAGCTAAACGAGCGAGGTCAAACAGAGGTCAAGGGGACATAGACCTTATCTGCTGTACTTGTAGGCAAGATGTTAATAAAGCGACGGCTTTAGTTTAGGTATTTCTTTGATTTTCTATGTAACACGGCCGTAAATACTAAATAGTGAAAAGGTTGTCGTGCATTTTGCATTGCACGACAAAATTCACAGGTTTTGTCTATGGAAGGCTATTGAGTATTGGGCCCTAAAAATAAAATAACATCAGAATATAAAATTTTTTAGAGCACAATTTATTGGTCTAGCCTAGTACTACTAGCACCTAATAAAATTAGACTTACGTTATAATAATGATTTTGCTGGTAGTGTGATGTGTCTCGATTGTAGTTTAATTGACAACTCCATGCAACTATTGCGGTCCACATTAAATGATTGATAAATCTAGTAACATAACATTAGCATACACACAGTAAAGGATTGTTCATCTTACCTCCCGTCAGAAATGAATCACCAAGATCGTATCTGCAAAAGTTAAATAATCACCATTACATATCATTAAAAAAACAATATCACGTAAATTATCAAAATACTGCTTTGGGTGTTTTTATGTATTTAATCTAAGAAGATGTCGATCTTACGCAGCTTTCCATACGTCATTTGCAGCTAACAACTGACACCATAGGTAGGTACACAACGCGTAAAAATGGATTACAGCAAGTGGGATCACATTGAGGTACGTTAAAGTTTGTACGTCCTAATTTGTAGTTGCATGTACATTATAGTTTTATGACATCTTGTATGTTTGCCCAAAGGTGAGTTTACTCGAGGATAGGCATAACTATAGCAGTATATATTGTGTTGCTGTTGACCCTCACCCTGTCCAGTGCTCAGTGCTCTACTCCACGCTTGCCAAAGCCGACAGCGTCTCTATAATCGAAATACCGTACCGATTACGTCACCGTAAATCACAAAATACAAGTGATTCTGTTTACTTTTTATGGTTAAATTGCTGCATTATACTTCCTATTTTACTATATTGTTCGATGTGAACACACACTCGATCGTGACTCATACAGGTTCAAGGATAGAGAACATGTTACATCATACATGGGTCCCAATAAAACCAATGTCATTTACATCAATATAAAGATGATATTATTAAACGGTATTGCTAGGGTTAGAATACGTGTATATTGACGTTAGTCACACAGCCTGGTCGGGTTAAGGCATAGCAAGCAATAAATGTCAGGAACATAATATCAAATCGTCCAGGTTTTTTGGATTTTTAACTAGTTGAGAAACAATTTTATCAGGTAAGAATTTGACGATACGTTTAGTCCCATTAGTCATTACTCATTAGTTCTTACTTTTAATGTGAAAAAATGGCAACAAAAATTTTACAAATTTTACCATAGAAAATTCGTGACGTAGTCAATTTAACGCGGCGAGTGTAGATTCGTAGTAGCGTACTTACTAATCCGCTAACGTAACGCTCTCCACAACTATAACAACCGTATCCGGCTGCGACAGCTAACATAAACATCTTCATGCATAGCTCTAGTAACTATAGCCTGCGTACAGTTGCCTGCGGCAACTGTACGCGGGCTAGCTATAGTTACTAGAGCTACTTCATGCATGACTGTGTACTTTATTGTCAATTTGTTAGCATATAATGCAGTGCAATGAGGCTGTATAGTGGCTGTATCTGATTGCTGTGTATAGTGTGTATACTGTGTTGTATATATTTTACTTTTTTGAGTAACAAATTACAAACCTATGAGTTTTGGCAGGTACTAACATCTAGAGTTTAGACAAACACATCACGACAGGGTTAAACATCTAAATGACAATTAAACAATCTAAATGATCTTTTAGAACATTATGGAATAAATCTGCTTTTTAACTTAGGGAGTATAAAAAACTAAAAACCATTGTAAATTATCCATTTTCTTCTGAAATTTGCCACACTTTTACAAATAGTAACAATTTCCGTGAAATGCATTTACCTGTTGGTAAGCTTCATGGAAAATATTTATTAGCTCATCTGACATAGTCAGATGCAGCTTGTAGAATCGCCTGATCGTTCGTCTGTCCGTGCGTCCGGCCGTCCGTCCGTGCGTCAACAGTTGGGCACAAATCTTAACCGCTCGACGCTTACGGTCACGATATGGTCGGCACATCTGGGGGGGGGAATCGTCAAAACGCAGTGGCGATGTCGAAGCTGGGTCAAAGAGTCAAAGGTCAAGAAGCGAGGTAAAAGAAGGGGAACATTCACTCCTGTAACTTAAGGAATAGGGAGGAATATGCAGATTGCGGGCACAAATCTAACGGCTCAGACCTGGCTCGTGATAGTCAGTGTTATAGCATCCTTGGAGGAAATGCCATCACCTGTGCCCGACCGAAAATTGGAGGTCCACAGGTCAAGGTCAAATCGGGCACAGGGAGATTTTAGGACATTTTCTGAGGACTGGGTCTGACAGAGCGATTGAAAACTTTTTGTTTTTCAGCGGTGGACTAGCATTTTTTAATGCTTTATTGAAAGGACATGAAAATGTACCTTCTGCTGACATGCCGAAGGTAGTGTCGGATAACCTTTTGACCCCTCAAGAAGGAGGGTGAAACATGGGATTTTGTTTACTGTCTGTTAGACAAAGAATTTGATCTGCCGGGTTTGCTAAGTAGAAATTATACATGCCTGAGGATGTCATGAGCTACACATGTCACAGTGAAATTTCAAAAGCTAAATTTGTTGAAGAAGGTTTCATGCTCCTTAAATCGGTTATAATTCTATGCGATTCTTGTTACTGTCAGATTGTTACATGTAACGTATGCCACTGCCAGTGGCCACTGCAGGTGATGTAGGTGGTGGTACGGTAGTGTTGCCTGCGATTAATTGGTTACAGGTGGCAGCTCTCTACTTGCCGCCTGTGTAGGCTTGCGGCAGGTAATATGGTATGAGTGCTACCTATTCTTCTCTTGAAATATGTTGTTGGCTACTACGTACGATGGGAGCTTCCAATCTTTAATCTGAAGATCCACTTAAACCGTACGCCGCCATTCTGCGTGGCAAATATTCATATAACGATTCCAACGGAAACCATTCCTTTGAGCAAGCGTTCTGATACCATCCCTGAGTGCATTGCCACTGTTTCGGGTGTATGGTGAACACATTTGGGACTAACAGGGTTTACTATAGAATCCCACCCCTCCACCACAGAGTCACCGCAGTAGACGTTAGATGAGCGCTGTCGCTCCGCGGCACTTGCTTGATAAAACAGCCGATTGTTGTGGAATGGTAAACAGTGATAAAACAGCCAAGCTGGTTATGGAATGGTGAGTATAGAGTTTATGCTGATTTTACTTAGTATTGTGCTTTTTTCCTATTGTAAAAACTTGAGTGGGTGTCAGTTATAATGTTCTTATATTCCTGTTTAATCCATGATAGATCTCTGATGATGAAGATGATATTCATCCAAACATTGACACGCCCAGCTTGTTTAGATGGCGGCACCAAGCTCGTATGGACAGAATGGAGGAGCAACGTAAAGAAAAAGAATCCATACAAAATAGCGTTACTGAGTATGTATAAGAATCCAGATGTATTTTGTCTAGGATTGTTTGGTGATAGTTACCTATTTTGTTAGCATGAAATCATCGAACTATGGTTAAACTTCTGCTAATAGACAACGGATGCGCTTGGTTATTTCTAGCTTACAAAGAAAGAAGGCTGAGATGAAGAAAAAGTTAGAAGAAGCTGAAACAGTATGTACAGGCTTGTTATTTGGTCAGCAGACCCCTTGCCATTGCATGTACATATTACTTGCATGTGCATGTGTAGAGTAGGTCATATAACCATCATACCCCTAGACAAAACGAGGGCTTAGGTTTTATCGTTTATTAAAGTGATGATCGGTAATATCTGTAGCTAGTGATACTTGTGTTTAATGTAAATTATGCACTAAATTTCAAAACTCACGTTTAAAGCACCTGAAGTAGAATTCGTTGTATATCGTGATGCTACCAGCCAGACCACCTACTAGCTGGCATATATACCACCTTTTTGTGGTCATAACTCGCTGATTAAATCACATGTGTTGTTATTTGCTGTTTTGAACTACCGCATTTGATTAGTCCACCATAAAAATAACCAAACCTGTCAGTCTTGCTGATAGTAATCATTACTTATAAGTCAGGGTGCGAAATTAACGGGAGTCCGGAGTCAAATACTTCCTGATTTACTGTCGGACTCCCTGATTTGACATATGCAGGAGTCCGTGTGACTCGCTGAAAATTCTGCTATATACTAACAAGTTCGTTCCAGAGCACGGCCTCGTGGTATTACCGTATTTTTTCAGCAAATGTCAAAAGAGAATTTGGCAGATGTGCAACTGCATGAATCTTCGTAATAAGCACATGAATTATTGTTAATATCTTTAGTTTTGAACTTCAGACTGCGGACTCCCTCATTTTGCTGCGGACACCCTCTTTTTAAGGGCAGGGAGTCCGTTGGACTCCCTTGTTTAAAAGTTAATTTCTACCTTTGTAAGTGCTTGTAATTTGGCACTTTTGTAATAACACGCAGTGGAATTAATTTCTTATCTTTGAGATGTGCAGTAAATTAATCAAAGGTTATTATATTCATAGGGTCAGTTGAATATGGATAAGATAAAACTGGAGGTTGAAGAAATAGAAAAGCAAGAAAAAGAATGGAGGAAGAAAGAGGAAGAATTTGCCAAGAAAGAAAGGGTAAGGCTATAAACCAAAAATGAAACCATTTATTATAATGTCATAACTCGCCTTTGATGTTTAAAGATTGCTGTTTTGATGTAATTATGCCATTTATTTCTAGCTCACTCCACTGAATGTGGATACTCTGAGCCATGATGCCTGGCAGAAAACTGTAAGTCACTAGTAATAGTAAAGAAACTTTACACTAGTAGTTATACATAAGCATTCGGTGGTTTCACATTTACTGCATAACAAGGCTTGATTTGGGTTCATATAGATTATATATTATATGGATTTCGTTATTGATAACTTGTAATTTTTTGTACCAAGATTATCAACAAACCACCGGCGAAGCCAACCAATGTAATACTCTCAGAAGAAGAGCAGGAGAAAAAGCAGGTAGTAAATCGTCAACTTTGCTGATGTGACCTAAAGTTTAAAAAACACATATGCTTGAATCTTAAGCTGGGTTTACACTGACGATTTTATGCAGGCAACTTGGCGTTTTTCTTCTTTCTACCAACCTCTCTATATATGTTCAAAGCTCTTACGTTATCGACCGCAAGGCGGCAAACGTTTTCAACATTTGACCCGTAGCGTGCGCACGGGGCGACGCGGATACGCATTTTAGCATGTATTCCATGCTGCCAGTGTGGCGCCTAAAGCAAAAATGTGTTTTTTCCCTAGGGTGGAGGGACACACCCTTGATTGCTGTTCTCTGATTGGCCACTTGGCAAAAAAACGTCCAACTCGCCTACTCCGAGTCAGCGAAATTAGAACATGTTCTAATCTCCCAACTCGCTGCTATCAATTGGTTGGACGTCCGACTTTTGCATTTACACTGCCGATTGTCAGTTGCCAAATCGCCAAGTTTGTACAATTCGGCAACTCAAAATCGTCAGTGTAAACCCAGCTTTAGTTAATAAACCAATTCCAGTATTTCTCTTTTCCACCATAATGTATTCTTTAAAATATGAAGACTGCAGTGGTATTGGAATCAAGTAGTGTCAACAGCCAGTGATTAGCACCCTGGCATTATATGTATTTGCCGAATCCATGATTAATTCAGTTTTGCTGAAGCTGGCTGCTGTTATTTACCCACTTAAATAGCACTGCCTCAACCATGAAAAAAGTCGATGAAGCAGCCTTTCATAGACATTTTTATGTCAAATGGTAAAACTGTGGTTAGTGAACTGTAAGCCATCATTGACATGGACATAACGTGCATAGGTGTGATTACCCACTCGTACTGGGTATTTAAGAGTGTGACAGGAAAACGTAGTTCATTATTGATTTGCATTGGGTTTTAAGCTGGAGTCTCATTTCAGAGAGAATTCATTAAAAAGTACGAGAAGGACATCAAGAAGTTTGGTATTATGAAGAAGTGGGATGTCAGCAAGGCATTCATGGAGGAGAATAGGCACCTTGTGTGTGAGGAGACGGCCAACTACCTTGTTATCTGGTGCATAGATCTGGAAGTGGAAGAGGTATGTCCATGTATCTCATTAAGGATTCATTGTACCACCAGTAAGCCCTGATCAGTTGATTAGTGAAGAGTAGATATAAGGCGCGTTCACGCGCACGTTTTTGGCCCGAGCCTAATTAGGCCCGCGCCAAATTTGGCTCGAGCCGAGCGTTCACACGGACGGTTTTTCGGGGCCGTGCTGAGTTAGCATGAGCCAATTTGGTCCTATAAAAAACGTCTGACCTGGCCCGAGCCAAATTTTAGCACCAGCTAAATCGGTAGAGTGGTAGATGCCGCGAGTGTCGAACGTGTACTTCGACGAAATAAAGTCCAAAACAGTATAAAAATTCGCATGTTTTAAACATTGATAATTGAACTCGGAACGGAAGTAAACACTGAATCGTACACAACGCCATCTCGCTACAGACAGTATTTGCTTGCGTACGTGTGAACGCTCCGACTCAAACCGGCCCGAGCCAAATTTAGCCTGAGCCAAATTTAGCCCATTTAGCTCGAGCCAAACCATTACCGTGTGAACGCGGTAATAATGATCTTTTTATCTGTTACAATCACCCTATTATCCTTGCTTACTAATACTGTACTTTAGACCATTAACTTTATTTGTGACAACTACACTATTATCCCTATAAACTTTGTTTTGTTACCTTACATTGTTGCAATTACAGTGTGATGCCATCAGTATTTCATAAGAATTTGTGGCCATTGATGCTTTCAGTATTTTGTTAACTGTCATATTATACATGATCTTGATTGGGCCTCCTAAGAGATTCCCTAAGATCTCCAAAGATATCCTAACATGCCAGAGTAAAACAATCCTAACATGCCAAAGCGGTCCGATTCATTTTAGAGTTGCGTATGAACGTTTGTTACTTGATTCTCCCATGTTGTTGAATTGCAGAAACATGAGTTGATGAGTCACGTGGCGCATCAGACGATCGTCATGCAGTACCTTCTGGAGCTGGCCAAGCAGCTTGATGTCGACCCCAGAGCCTGCATTGGCAGCTTCTTCACAAAGTAAGCACACGTGGCAGCCATTACATTCTATACTACTGCACGCGATCAAGGTCAATGCGGTCTCTCATCTCTCCATACACATACATGTACAGCGAGTAGATGTTTATATATTTTGTACATGTTACTATGGTTAGGCAGGATTGGGGAAATTCTACCCAAATTCGTGGTTTTCAGATGGCCACCTGGGTCATTTTAAGGTCAGTGCAATCCTTGAGAAAAATTCAAAGGGGGCCAAAAAATCTTAGGCAGGTAGAGCTGGGAGAGGACAACAGCCAGTTTTTTTGCAAGTAAAGGAGATTCTACTAACATATTTTACAAATGACAGTTTGTCTCGTTATGGGCATTTTCTAAAGAATCAATATATTCTCCAGAATGTTCTAGAATGGAATATTTCACAGAGTGGGTTTAATCACATTTCTGGAGCAGAGCATATACCCCGGACCCCTCTAGGGTTTCATAGTTGTATATTAGCCATTCTCATTTCTGCAAGGAAATGCACTCATTTGATGTATGTATTACATGACAAATGGATAGGGTTCAGTATTGGCTGATGTTTAATTCGATGCTTATTAGGATCAAAACTGCTGACAAAGTTTACTTGGATGCATTTGAGGACGAACTGAGATTGTTTAAGGGACGGGTTAAAGAACGTGCTGAAGCAAGAATAGAGAGAGCCATGAAGGAATATGAGGAGGTAAGAAAAAACTACAACAGTCTCATAGATATATAGTGTCGTGGGAAGGCGTCTCTAATTCATACGCGATGGAACTCGCAAGAAATATATTGAAAGGTGTACAATCAAGGTAGGTAATGACACATTCAGCTTGCTTACTTGTGTATACTGTAAGTTACTCATGCTGTACAAGTGTGATGACTATGGGGCTCGTTTATAAAGGATAGCGAGTCAGTTTAACCTCAAATGGAGCACAGTTGTGCTTATCCACCTAACACTGCAGTGGTTTGCTTTCAGGAGGAGAAGCAGAAAAGGCTTGGCCCAGGAGGGTTGGACCCAGTGGAAGTCTTTGAGAGTCTTCCCCAGGTATGTCGATCACTTGAATTACTTGAATTGAATGGATTATAAGGTTAAATCAATTGATTAACCCGTATAAATTGCTTATTCCTCCGACTTGTCCCTGGTGCCACAATTTGATGTTATCTGAAATCATGTGCATTGTTGCTGTGACTTTAGATATTGAAGAGCTGCTTCGAGACACAGGACATACCGCTGCTGCAGAAAACTTTGCTGGAGCTCCCCGAATCCGATGCTCGATACCACATGAAGCGCTGTGTAGACTCGGGGCTGTGGGTTCCTGAAGCCAGTGCCAAGGAGGAGCTGGAGAAAGGTATGAGCAAGGAAGAGGTAGGCAAGGAGGAAGAGAAAAAGAAGGCTGCTGCTTAATGGAGATGTAGGGGGCAAATAAGGAGTGGCTAGAGAAGGGAAAAGGAAATGAAAGCTGCATATGACGAGAAGTGGAGGCTGATAATCGGGAAGGTGAACTATTGGTTTGTGTTAGTCACCTTTCAACTACATGTTGCAAACAACTTTGCAGATATTCTTCAAGTTCCAGTATGAATCGTGACATTGTTTAGTGTGTACCGTTTCAGCAATGGCAGTGCCGAATTTTTTTAGTGTGTTAACTCGTGTATCATTTATTTATCAACTGTGATCCTGGTTAATATCATATATATATATCAGTTTTTGGAATAATGATTGATTTCCTGTTAAAAATGAAATTTTAAAGAATACGAATGTTTGTATATTGGCATATTTTTTGGCAAATATCACTTACACATTCATTGGTTGTATTTTTATGTAAGCTGTTTAAATTCAAGATGTGTTCAAAAAAATTACAAGAAAAGAAGGAAAACTGACTTTACATTGTTTATCCCAGTGATGCGAGTTCGTTCCACTCAAAAATAAATTGACAAAAAACGTTCAGGTTTAGCAAAACCGAATGAAAGTGTCTATAAACTTGGACCAATAGCCGTGGGAGACATTTATGCTGCCCCTTGACTATTCTTGAATATAATATCTATTTTGCAATTTTCACCCAGAATATACAGCAGTGCTTAGCATCGTTACCCCCCCCCCCAGTGTTTGGTGCATGTATGGTAGACACGGAACCATGCAGGATTCCTGTGTCTATTGATTTGCTGCTGGCATAACTGCAGGGATTTATGAATCGACATTTCCACCAATATTTAGTGCATATGACATTTTTTAAAGTAATGTTTTTGTCTATAAAGTCTATACAGGATATCCCTACTTGTGCGATAAAATGACTGAAAAATTCGAGAGCAAGATGAATGTATAACACTACTGTTGAGCTATATTTATTCAATCATAGTCAAACGATTATGTACTGGAATTGTATTTTGAATCTTACTTCTTTATATGATGTTACTCACAATATAAAATGTGCACTAAACACCTACTACCAAAATATCATTGCAAGCCTGCAATCTGTTCAATGTGAATTACTACAATGTAACTACTTAAATGTGAGTAATCTTAAATAAATTGCAACGTTTTTTATGCTTCATACAACATGTCACTGTCATCATTAGTCATTCATGATGTGGCTAACTAAAGCTGAGAGGGTCTATGTCCCCCAGGGTACTATCGGAGGGTACCCTGGGTACGGTTCGATATATCGGAACGTACCCTGGTACTATCTAATATGCCGGACCGTACCTCACCTACTCCACTAACGAGTCTAGGGAATCGCCTATGCCTACTCCCCAACGCTAACCCTAGCCATATCAGATAGTTACCAGGGTACGTTCCGATATATCGAACCGTACCAAGGGTACCCTCCGATAGTACCCTGGGGGACATAGACCCTATGAGCCCAACTAAATGTAGGCAGACACACTGGTCACATATTTAAAAAAATGCATCAAAGTTCTAGGATTAACCCTTGGGGTTAAAATCCTGGGATAAATTATCTTAAGTAATATATCTCACACCAACACCACCTTAACAACAACCCCTGTAGACCATTTAAGGTCACTGTCATAATGCCTAAGCAACAATTAACATGCATTTCTAATCTAACAAAATGCCTTCACGCTTGATATAATTATTCACCAAGATTCCCAGTAACTTCACTTGCAGGTAGTATTATATTAAGTCTGGCCATTTGAGACATGATTTTTAGGAGTTCACAAAATATTTTTACTACCTACAGCATCTTGGGAAATTACATATTAAGGTACTATGCGACACCACGTGTAAATAGGGAAACGAATGTACGTGTATGCATATATAATCGAAACTCAATTATCGATTGCGTAGGGAGGTTTCATCACACAATACTGAGCACACCTCACAGCCAGCCATTTGACGATTCATTAAGTTCACTTGCATTTAAATGCAATATGAATCACAGATAGAGATGGTATGATGAACTTTTAATTGTCGCTTATTTTACGGATCTTGAAAAATATCTTACAAAAATACTTTTGGTAAACATGCGCATGTGATGATAGAATGACTACACCCTCAACAACTACAGTAACAAGCATTGAAAAGCAATTGAGATACAATTAGGCACTGATGCAATCCGAGACAATGACATGATATTCATTAAGAAATTAATAGCATAAATCTACGCTCCCTAGAACACTTGCATTGAAGCCTCAAATAGGCTTGCTAGTTGTTCTTCACTCTGCTCTCGGGGAGCTAATCTTGTGACTCGCTCCTGTGACAAGTAAAAACACTGGGACGTTAGAAGCAAATCCAGACAATAAACCAAGAGTACTGGCTTGGTTGTAGACAAAGCTAAGCATAAATAACAGATATACAATACTCAGACTATATTATATATATATATATATAGTCTATATATACTATGGCTTCTCTTATTTATGTTCTAAATATTATTGGCTCAATACTGTATTAACATCTAATATTAGAAAATATGACTCAAACTCACTAACATATTACACCATAGCCTGATGTTTCCTGCCGTTACTCTATTTATCCATGTGGCTGCCTTGAAGGCATATAGGCTAATTGGCAATATCATGAATGGCACTATAGAGAA